ATATATAATCTAAAAGGTGGGAATGAACTCACAAGAGGGTGACAACTATCCTCATAAATACCTTTTCCCTACTCCTTATTTCTTCCCCTTTCCTCCCCTTCTCATTTCTCCTGTATAAGTCGAAAATCATCATGTCTTGTCAAGAACCGGATCAGTACCAATTCCCGGTTCTTGAAGATGGTTTCACTCCCAATGAAATTGATGAACTCTTCTCCCTTTTGCAATCAGAACCACCGGTCCATTCAACCTCCGGTTCACAGACAATCCATTCGGATAACTCTGTTGAAGAAACTAGGAAGCGAAAGAGGATGATATCAAATCGAGAATCAGCCAGGCGAACTCGATGGCGGAAGAAGAAGCAGTTAGAGAACCTTATAGTCGAAGTAAATCGCCTGAAAATCGTGAACCAGGAATTGAAAAACCGTTTGTGCACCATTGAACATGAACGTCATTTCGTTCTAAGAGAGTCAAATGAGCTAATAGTGGAATCGTTGCATCTCCAACAAAACCTGGTCGTTTTATATGATATCCTGCAATCTATGCAACTCTAATGATCGGTAATTAACATTATCAAGTCTTGCATGCAGCAAGTGGCGTGGAGCACTCGACATGATTAAAGTACAAGAAATATTGTGATCTTGTCTAGTATTTTACTCACCCGTTTCTAATACAACGTATCGAATATATTGAGATAACTACATGTTATGAGTATTATGGCAAACCTCGTTGACGTGCCGTGTAAAAATTCAAGTGCCGTTTGTTTTTGAAGAGATTTTGAGCCATTTTTCATCCTACTGATTTATGTAAGTATTTTGGCAGTTGACGTCAGTTGGAGGAGTATCTAGGTTCATGAAATTTTATAATTCGCTTCTCATTCAAATTTTTTTTTTTCCATTTCTTTTAGCATTTAATCTTCACTTTTTTGACATCGGATCCTCATTTCCCAGGGGAAAACCATGTGCGACACTACTCTTGATAAACTATAGGCAATTCAAGATAGAACAAAAATTGAAACCTGATCAAGAATTAAATTTGAATTTTGGGCCCCCTCACATGAGAGAGGCGTACACCATGCTGTATGGAATGGTGTAAAACCATCATTTTCCATTAAATTTTAGCAACTCTTTCGGCTGTCTCCCAATCCCCAACATGCTCAAGAATCAAGAATTATTCTGGGGTGGGGAGGCTTGAGGAAACTTGCATAGATATAATAAAATAGATAGGCCGGTATAATCATCATATAATGAGTGCAATAATATTAAGAGTAACGTTATTTATTTTCATTAGAGATAATTACCATATGATGACATTAAATGATAAATTTAATAGACTGCGTCTCATATTCATACATTTAATTGGTCTTTATCATTTCATAATATGTCACATAAATTAGTTATCATCTCTAATTGAAATAAATAACTTTAATTATTCTAATAATAATGTACGAATCACTCCTTCGAAATTAAATTTTCAAGAAATCATGGGTCAATAAAGGTTCTCTTTATTCCTATGAATAATGCTAAGTGTACACAATCTTTTACACAATTTTTTACACCCACCTCACATGGAGGGGGCCCACACATAATAAAATAATCGCGGACCCCCCTTCCATATGAGAGAGGTGTAAAAGATTGTGTAAAAGTGTGTGTGTACATGTAGCATTACCCTTATTCCTATAGAGGTATATTTGTGTTCAATCCAGACTTCTAGGACCTGGTTGGAGTTTTTTTTTTTTACTGGTTTTGATTGTTTCTGAGTGGCACTATTTATGAGATGATGTGAAAATCACTGATTATGTTTTGGTTGTTGCTAGACAAAATCAGTGTATATTATTTGGGTTGTATTTCTCAATTTACCAAATCGATGATTGTTGATAAATTTTCAAATTCCAATTTTACTCTCTTAAGCAGTGTACTTGCCAGTTGATCGCTAAGTCTTGTAGAACCCCAAATTTTTTAATTGTGTAGCATATAATTTATTTGTCAATCAATAGGAATGCCATGTCTAGTCAAGCTATTATGCAAGTCAATTTGTTATGCTATATAATTAATTTGGATTTATATGGATATCCTTATAGTCGAGGGACCAAAGTGAAAATAAATATTAAAATTTATACTTTTATTTAATTTGGCCAAATAGTTAACTATTGAAAGAGTTAGAATTACCCTATAAATATTGGGCTCATCTTGAAGCTTACAATAAATTGCAAAATATGAACTCAAGAAAAAATTAATTTGCATAAGTTAAACTCGGGTTAAAACAACCTAAGAAAAATATTTAGTTAATAATATTAGTTATCGGTTTAGGCTAAATTACTATATCAATATTGAACTCTTTTGATAGATGATAACACACACACACAAAATAAATTCATTGTTTCCATCAACCTCAACTTTTTTTTTTTGTCATCTTCCTTGACCTGGGCCTCCTTTGATATCAGAGTGATAAGAGAGTAGTAAGAGAGAATTGTGTCAAACTATTGTCTATATAATGTCTAAAGTTAGGTTGGTGTAAGGCATGAATGTCTACAGAAGCGTTGGTCAGCTATGTTGCCCGAGTAGGCGTTTAGGTGGTCCCGTTGTAGGCTTCGCACTACATCAATTTGCACGTAGCATTCTGTTTTCAATAGTAAGATTAATGTTTTCTTATTACTATTAAATTACGCCTTTTATGTCTAATTGATTTAGTAAAGGAAGTGATTCAAACAGTAGTGGTGATATCATTTCAAATTATTTTCAAGATAACAATGAAGAATTAGATCTAGATCATGCATTTGCATCAAATGATTTTAAATCAAATGAACTTCAAATAGCTTGAATAGAGCAAAAACTTTAAAATTGGACTAGCCCAAAAGTAGACAAAAGTTCTGTCTATGAGATAGGAAAATTTGATTTTACTCAAAATTTGTTATCAAAACTTTGGAGCAAAGACCAAAAAACCGACAAAATAAATCTTCTTAGTTCATCTAATAAAGATGACTAGGGGCCCTGGAATCCCAACTAGCTCATGGGATACCGCCCTCCTACTTCAATATCCTTGTGGCTGGATTAAGGGCAGCGCGCTTTGGGAGAGCTAGCTTCGGTCTCACGTAGCTCGCCTAAGCAAGGATGGAGCTGTCGAGTGAGGATTGGCCGAGGGTTTTTTTGATGGAACTGAGGCTGCCCCTGCAGAGAAAGTTGAACAATAACAGTTCCAATTAAACATCAAACTGTTTCTATCAATTTATTCTCAAAAGAAGCAATACAAGCTCATAGGAAGAAATTTAAATTTCTTCATGTTGGACTTGTTCAAATTGCAGTCAAACCTCTATTTAGACTTGGTCTAGACATTCCAATTCTTTTAACCTGAAGAGATAAAAGACTTTTAAGGTTTGAGCATTATTTATTATCCATGCTCGAGTCTAACCTTGAGAGTGGTCCAGTATTTTCAAACTGTTATCCAAATTTTTCAATCAATTTTCAAGATGGAGCTATCCTTAATGCTCTTAATATTCAAATTCATACTAAGAATTTTGATGTTGATTATCGTTCAAAATCATTTGTTTTAATATATCGAATATATTACAAGCTTTTGAATATACAACTTAATATTCGAGCCCTTCGATCTTTCACAAGAGATGAAAGTCTTTTGGTTAAAGTGAATCTACTTCATTCAAATGCTCTGATCCCCAAGCGTATTCCTTGGAATCTTCAATCTCGTGGACTAGAATGAGATTTTGAAAATGCTCATAACCTAGTTCCAGCCCCTGTAAGAAGAAATCCTGATCAAATTATCTCTTTTCTTGATGGAAATGTCAAAGTTATTTTTGATAAACCATCATCTTCAAATACTATTCGAAGATCACTTTCATCTAGATTTGATTATAGATTTAGGGTGTGTTTGGGACACATTTTTTTGAAAGAATGTATTATTGAATAGTAGATTGATGGAGAATATGTGGTTATAAATGAAGGAAAAGTTATTGATGTGATGGAAAATATTATTTTATTGAAGAATGTGTGGTTNGATGTGATGGAAAATATTATTTTATTGAAAAATGTGTGGTTAAAAATGAGTAGAAGAATGAGAATGGAAAAAATAATGTGTACCAAACATGGGCTTAGGCAAAATACTTTTCAACCTTCTATATTTTCTACTTCTTCTTTAAGAGAAGTTGACTTTAATTCCAATATTCCTAAACCTCATTATCAAAAGGATAAAGAAGATGAATCAGAACAACCCGGTTCTCCTACTTTATCTGACATGGCATCTCCTTCAGAGAGGCTTGATCAACAATGTAATGTTATTTCTTCTGCTATAGATAGAAGAAATGAATTCATTACTCACAAAACTCCTGATGTCAAAAATTTTAGAAAAATATTTCAAAAAAGTTTTTCTCAAAAAGAAATTGAGTCTTACTGGGAAGAATTTGAAGTATTTCCAGAAGATTTAAATTTTTATAACAAAAAACCCACTAAATAAAAAATTATTCAAAATACAAATTCTTCAAAAAATATTTGGAAAACACCTAAAGGTGATACTTTTCAAACTACTCATCATCATATGCAAGAAATTGTAGTTTTCCAAGGAAATATAGAAATTCTTGCATATCCTCTCAAAAGGATATCTAGCGAACGGTCAGATGATTCTGAAGTAGTAGCTAAAGATATCAAGAATATTTAAGCTTAGAACAATTAAACAAATATTGTTCTTTAATTTATGTGTTCTCAGTTGAATAGAATTGAATTAAATCCTGACACTAAGAAAGAAATTTCAAAACTTGATTCTGAAAAATCTATTTCAAAATCAATCAGTAAAGAAAAAACCGTCAATATTTTATTCAAACCTCATCCTTCAAACATGATTCCTGAATTTGGAAAATTAGATAATGAGACTCAAGTTTTAAAAGAACTTGTAATTCAATTATCTAAATTATCATCTCCTTCTCCTTCAAAAAACATCAACATTATTGATGAAATTGAATCTCAATTTATCGAAAATGAAAGTGAAAATTTTCATAAAAATAAATTAAAAGGTTCATATACGAAAATTCCCTCTATATTTCCTCAAAATATTGCTCTCGATTTGCTTTTTGAAGAAAAAGCACCACCTTCAATGACTTTTGATGGAAAATCTGTTGTCGAATGGAATATTGACGACTTAACAGAATATCAAATTGTTCGAAAAATTGATATTATGGCTATGTGTTGGAAAACATATAGATCAACAAATGTTGATCCAAAAGTTACTACCATAAATCTATTATTAGGATTTACGGGTCAACTTAAAAATTGGTGGGAAAATTATCTCAGTAACGATGAAAAGCAAGACGTGATGCACTCTCAAAATGATGAAACTGGAGAAAATGACAGTTTCAATACTCTTATTTATTGTATTATCTAACATTTTATCGGAGTACCTATCAATGTAATGAATCAACAGTCCGAAATTCTTATGACCCTTAGATGTTCAGAACTTCATGATTTTCGATCGTATAAAGACACGTTTTTATCACTTATCTTTCTCCGAGAAGATTGTGAACAATCTTATTGGAAAGAAATATTTATATCTG